TATAAAGAAGTCCAGGGAGAGAGAAACCCTGCTGGAATATTTCCACTTTTTTAATCCCAGTTAGTTCTTAACTTCAAAATTGGATGATTGCAGAGAAAAAGGAAACTGCACAGCCAGCAAATTAACTTTCTCCTTTTAAAGCGTAGCGAACACTGCCTCCCTCCCACAAAAGTCTCAAATTCACTGAAATTCACATTAGTTATACTCAGTCTGCAAGACTTATAATTTCACTCAATTGTACATTGGAGTGGAACAGCTATGAAGGGATTATGAAGTAACAATGAGAGATTATAAAGTTTCATCATGGTTAAGCACAGTCTCCCCCGTGGAAATTCCTGTTCTGCCCCTGCTGAAGGCCATAAAACAAAGCCATCCTGAATAAACTGATTCACAGACTGCAGTGCTGCAAACTGAGTAGCACTACCTAAAAGGCTGCATTAGAGAACAGTAGCAATTCCAGAGCAGCAGCAAGACCTCTGCATATTTCCACATCAGAACAATCCATTCCCTTCACTTATCACACAAGGATCTGCATGTCTGCCTTACCACAAAAACATTCTGATTGCGCATTTCACACACTAGTTTTCCTTTAAGGTACAAACATGGTATCATGAAAACAAAGGTCTGAAAATGGTATTTCATACTAGACCCTCCAACCTCCCCAGTACCTTTTATTTGAAGTGGAAACATTTTTAGAACCCACTCTAAATACAGCTTTAGCGTGGCTATAAATGCTCTGGGATCTGTATTCTGGTGCAGCACATTCCTCACACAGGACTTCTATTACTATTAATTATAATATAAAATTACCAACCAGGACCCCATTATGCTAGGCGTTGTACAAACCTAGAACAAATTAATTTGTGTCCTAAAACACCTCTCTTCCTGTTTAATTTAGTCAACCAGCTTTGCCTATTTGACACTGAGATTTGGATGCAGTGGGCCAAAGACTTCACAACATAGTCATGCCTCTTTTGCAATTAGTCAAAGGTCAAGAAAAGAACTTCAAAACTGACTTGTGGAGAACTCAAGGAGTACTCTGTTCCTTCTGAAATCTTGCTTCATGGCCTAGAGCAGTGGTTCTCAACATATTACACATTGTGGGTCACATATGCGGCCCACAATGTGTAACCTGGGCCACAGGAGCCAGGTGGCAGGGCAGCAGCAGCCCAGACCCCGACCCTTCACCGCACAGCTGCCCAGGCCCCCAGACCTTGTGGGGCTGGCCAGCTGCCCTGGACCCCAGGACCCCTGCCACGCAGGGCAAGCCAACTGCCCACCCTGGTCCCCCTCCGTGTAGCACTCTGGATCTCGGAGCCTGCAGGGCTGGGCAGCTACCCTGGACCCTAACTCTCGGCTCACCCCAAGCCCTGCTGCGCAGCTGCCACAGATCCCAAAGCTTGTGGGGCCAGGCGGCTGCCCCAGACCTCAAAGCTCATGGGGCCCTAGGGCTGGCAGGGAGCCCTGGACTCCCAAACCCCCAACTCTGCAGGGCCGGCCAAGAGCCTGACCCCGGGGCAGCTGGGACCCTGGGCACACCCACAGGTGTGTGCTAATTGGGCTGCCGGTTGAGAACCACTGGCCTAGTGACTAGATACGGACATTCCCCAATGGACAGCACAGAGAACACTGATCCAACATCAGTCTCACCAACTTTTTGCCAAAATAATTACACATGAATCATTGTAGCACAGAGGATAGCCCACCTCTAACATGGGGCCTGGAAGAATTCCCTTCAGGTGAGACAACCAGACCTGCTGGAAAATTGGTATTTACAGCTGTTGCAAAGCAACACATCCTAGCAAACTGTCCCGTGACAACTGTTGACTAACCAGATTCAGCCAGTATTGAAAAAAACTAATAGAGTAGCTGAAATTTAGTCAGATTACTTGCCCTCTCCAGAGATCCTCAGCCAGCCACCATGCAGCTGGAAAAGTGACAAACTTTATGTGCTGACTAGTGCCATGTTCAGGCTCCTAAAGACATCTGTCAGTGTTTAAATCCACTGTACGCTCTGGAAAGAGCAAGGAGTAGGGAACTGACTTCTCTTCCGCAACAATAAGACCCCTATTTCTTTCTCTCTCAGTATTTCTAAAATGCCTACCCCCCTTGTATGTATGTACAGTTATTAAGGACAGCACTAGCTCGTGTGATGGCAAAATTCTCACCGCTCCCCTTATTCCTGGTGTGTATATCAGGGCAAGTTTTTTTTGACCTGAACAGTAATGTAGAAATATTGCACACACCCTCTATGTCAGCTGTCCTAGGGCAGAAACAAGATCATCACCCCCACATTCACCTTGCTTGCATGTTATATGTCATTCCCCTCTGTAGGTCTGTGTTTGGTCTTCAGATCATAAGGTTTTTTGGCAATCACAGTCACTATATATTTGTACAGCACCTGGCATAAGAGGGCCCTAATCCTAACTAGGCCTCTGGAGGCTAAAGCAATACAATTAAAATAATGAACACAACTACAAATAAATGTCAATTCCAAAGAAACCATAAACACAATACAAGCAAAAAGACATCCCATTTTAAAGTTAGTTGTCATGGACTAGGTGATACATGCAGCAAATTCACACCCCAGTGCAGTCAGGGGGCCCAGCACCAGAACAGCAAGAGTGTTGAGGTAGCTTGCCCAGAGCATCCCTCAGATGTCAGTTCCTCATTCAATTCATTAGTCTAAACACGCTAGCATGGAAGACCAGGCTGATAACAGCAGAGGATGGAAACTAAGGTCAATGCTCTTCATGTTACTTTAGTATCTACCTTTTCTATTTCCAGAGAAACAGTTTAGTATTTTTAAACAATGTATTCCACAGTCTATTTTAACTTTTCACTAGCTCACAGAGCTCCCTCAGTTGCTGTAGGGCAGACATACCCACCCCCTCTGCCCATGGGACAGAGCACCCTTTCTAAAGGGAGATTTTTGAAAGCCAGGAATACGAGTTATGAAGGAGTTATTTATACTGAATTTCAGAGAAGCTGGGAGACAAAGAACTGTAGCCTTGTATTTAAAAACAGTTCAAATGATGCTTCATCTAATACAGTAGCTTAGCACAAGAGTCGCTTAACAGGCCAGCTCCTTTCCTGGCAAACTTTTCAGAAAACAAAGAGAGCACGGAGCAGCCTTTCCTGGAAATGCAGAAACCAGCTGGACCAGAGATTGGCACAAAGGGCAATCCTCATCTGCTTCATCTGCTCAGTGGAGACACATACAAACTGCTCCACCTCCACAAAGCCCATCACAACCACCTCCATCCACTAGTTTCCAGAGTAGCAGTTGTGCTAGTTTGTATCCGCAAAAAGAAAAGGAGGACTTGTGGCACCCTAGAGGTTAACCAATTTATTTCAGCATAAGCTTTCGTGAGCTACAGCTCATTTCATCAGATGCACTGGGTTATTTGTATTACAGCAGCACTCAGTGGCCCTTAATAGAATGGGGGTCCATTATGCTAAGCTCTATATAAACATTAGACAATCCCTCCCCTAAGGAGTTTACAATCTAAATACTGACAAGAAGCGACAGGTCAATATAAAACAAAGAGGAGGATGAAAAGGCTGATGGCAAAAGGAACACAAGGAGGCACAGCTAGGTGCCTGATTTGCACACTTATAAATAATAAGAATAATACCAAGCTCTTACATAGCACTTGTTGTTTGCAGAGCAAGGCACTTTATAAAGGTTAGTATCACTATTCCGATTTTACAGCTGGGGAAACAGACATGGGGAGGTAAGTGACTTATCCAAGGTCACCCAGCAGACTAGTAAAGCCCTGCATGGATACCAAATTTATATCTGCGGGTATAAAATGGGTATCCGAGGAGCTGCAGGGCCCTACCAGGAACAGCAGCAGCAAAAGCAGCCTCCCTGACTGGGGGCAGTACAGCCATGCCAGAGGAGCTGCCCACGCAGGGCACTGGCTTCTGCGAGCGGGGGCCGGACATGCGGCTGCTTTTGCTGCTGTTATTCCTGATAGTGGGGGAGATTTAGGTTGGATATTAGGAAAAACTTTTTCATTAGGAGGGTGGTGAAACACTGGAATGCGTTACCTAGGGAGGTGGTGGAATCTCCTTCCTTATAAGTTTTTAAGGTCAGGCTTGACAAAGCCCTGGCTGGGATGATTTAGTTGGTCCTGCTTTGAGCAGGGGGTTGGAGTAGATGACCTCCTGAGGTCCCTTCCAACCCTGATATTCCATTCTATGATAGAACCGTGCAGCTCCTTGGACATCCGCCGATATCCCATACACAGATATAAATTTGGTATCCACTCAGGGCTCCACAGAGGAGTGGCTAAGTGAGGAACAGAAGCTAAGTCTCCTGAGTCCCAGTCCAGTGCTCCATCCAGTAGGTTTATCTGGGGGATTTTTTTTTAATATAGGTGAACTGAAAGAATTCAGTAACAGATATTCCATTCTATAGAGGCTCTCCCCATAGTATCCAAGCACTTTCCAGCAGTTCAGTAAGCAACTAAATCTGCGACATGTTTGCTCTCTCACCCTCTCTGCAGAGGGAGAAGTGCATGCACTATTTCGGATTTTTTTCAGCGATTGTATATATACACACACATGCAGAGCGACGTGTTTCGGTCAGAGAACGCAATCGCCAAGTGGAAGGTGTGGGGGCTGTGAGGATCCTTAACTCTCCTGGGGGAGTCCCTTGCACAGGCTGGGACGCACTCCTTAAGAGACGAACTTTACACCCTTAGGGCAGAAAATGCCACTGGGCAAGAGGAGCTCGACTGTCAACCAGGGTCTCACTTTGCTTTGCCTCCCACAGGTGAGGCACCAGCCCCGGTGCGGGGAAAGCAGAGACCGCAGCCAGGGGAGACGGCGGGCTCGGGGGGCGAGCGACAGGAGCGCGCACCGCCCCCCAGCCGGTCGCTGGGTCAGTGGGACGCGCCGCGCTCCCCCTTTCAGGCCGGGGCGCTCGCCCCGCTGACGGAGGCGCGTCCCCCGCTGCCCCGGCCCCGCGGCCCCGGCCCCGGCCCCGCTACCTTCCAGCCGGCCGAGCTGTTGCTGTCGCCCTTGTCCTTGAAGTAGGGCACGAAGCGAACCATCCACTCGTAGATCTGCGCCAGCGTCAGCCGCTTCTCCGGGGCGCTCTCGATGGCCTGGCTGATCAGCTCGGCGTAGGACTGGTTCCCCCAGGCGTTCCGCCGGGAGCCGCCCTTCCGCGCCGCCGCCGCCGCCGCCCCGCCGGGCCCCCGCGGCCCCTCGGCCCGCCCGGGCCCCGCCGCCGCCGCCGCCCCGCCGGGCCCCTCCTCCGCCGCCGCCGCCGCCGCCGGGCCGCCCGCCGCCTCCTGCTGCGCCGCCGAGAGCTCGGGCCGGGGCAGGGGCCAGGTGCAGGAGCGGGGCCGGCTCTGCGGCGCGAAGTCCGGGTCGATCTCCACGCTGCCCCCCGGGCCGCCGCCCGCCTCGGGGCCCGGCTCAGAGGCCGCCATGGGCCCGCGGGCTCAGCGCCGCGCCGGGGCCCGCGCGCCGGGCGGCTCGCCCGCGGCCTCCGCCATTCCCCGCCCGCGCCCCCCGCCCGCGCTTCGGCCCCTTGCCGCGACCCCGAGCCGCCGCCGCGGCCTCACGGCTCTGTTTACCACAGCCTGCGGAGGCCGCTGCGCCTGCGCGCGCGAAGCATGCTGGAAGGTGGAGTCCCGCAGCCGTCTCGCAACGCAGCGCCCGCCGGGCAAGCGCGGCCCGGGGACTCCGTGTCCCGACACCTCGCGCATGCGCCGAGGCGTGGCAGGGGCCAGAACGGCAGCGTGGCAGACCGGACGCTTGGGGAACTACAGCTCCCGAAATGCCCCGCGACAGCCTCGTGATGGGCTCCCCTCACACAGCACAGCGGGCCCTCCCGAGCGAGCCCGGGCTCCCCCCGGGCCAGCGACCCCCCCGCCGTGCCCCCTCCTCTCCGCTCCCCCCGCGCCAGCGACCCCCTCCTCTCCGCTCCCTGCGCCAGCGACCCCCCGCCGTGCCCCCTCCCCTCCGCTCCCCCCGGGCCAGCGACCCCCCCGCCGTGCCCCCTCCTCTCCGCTCCCCCCGGGCCAGCGACCCCCCCCGCCGTGCCCCCTCCCCTCCTCTCCCCGGGCCAGCGACCCCCCCGCCGTGCCCCCTCCCCTCCGCTCCCCCCGGGCCAGCGACCCCCCCCGCCGTGCCCCCTCCCCTCCGCTCCCCCCGGGCCAGCGACCCCCCCGCCGTGCCCCCTCCCCTCCGCTCCCCCCGGGCCAGCGACCCCCCCCGCCGTGCCCCCTCCCCTCCGCTCCCCCCGGGCCAGCGACCCCCCCCCGCCGTGCCCCCTCCCCTCCGCTCCCCCCGGCCAGCGACCCCCCCCGCCGTGCCCCCTCCGCTCCCCCCGCGCCAGCGACCCCCGCCGTGCCCCCCCCCCCCACTGTGCCCCCTCCCCGCTATGCCGGCCAGCAACCCCTCCCCGCTATGCCCCCGCCAGGCCCATGTGCTCCTTCCCTCACCAGCTGTGCCACACTCTCATGGTCCTCACCTGCCTGCCATACCAGCCAGCAACCCCACCCACCATGCCAGGCCCATATGACCCCTACCCCACTGCTCCCCCACATCGCCATCTTGGGTGTGCCCCACCTGGCTGTGCCAACAATCTTAGCAGCATCCCCTTGGCCCAGCTGTGCCAGCCAACGTGCAGGGGTCACGCTCCACAGTTCGAAGTGAGGGGGCTCAGGGGTTTTGCTGATTTGTGTGGGGAGTGGGGGAGAGACAAAGCACACAGAAAGTGAGAACACGCAGAACAGAAAGAGAGGCAGAGGCAAAAAACAAGAAAGCCAAGCAGTAGCGTGTGAGCCCAGCGTGACTGTGGGAGAAGCTAGAAAGTGTGTGTGTGTTTTGGGGGGGGAGAAAACCTGGATTTGTGCTGGAAATGGCCCACCTTGATTATCATACACATTGTAAAGAGAGTGGTCACTTTGGATGGGCTATTACCAGCAGGAGAGTGAGTTTGGGGGGGAGGGGGCGGAGGGTGAGAAAACCTGGATTTGTGCTGGAAATGGCCCAACTTGATTATCATACACCTTGTAAGGAGAAAGAAAAGGAAGGTTTCAGAGTAACAGCCGTGTTAGTCTGTATTCGCAGAAAGAAAAGGAGTACTTGTGGCACCTTAGAGACTAACCAATTTATTTGAGCATGAGCTTTCGTGAGCTACAGCTCACTTCATCAGATGTATAACGTGGAAACTGCAGCAGACTTTATATACACACAGAGAATATGAAACAATACCTCCTCCCACCCCACTGTCCTGCTGGTAATAGCTTATCTAAAGTGATCATCAGGTGGGCCATTTCCAGCACAAATCCAGGTTTTCTCACCCTCCACCCCCCCACACAAATTCACTCTCCTGCTGGTGCTAGCCCATCCAAAGTGACAACTCTTTACATAATCAAGTCGGGCTATTTCCTGCACAAATCCAGGTTTTCTCACATCCCCCCACCCCCATACACACACAAACTCACTCTCCTGCTGGTAATAGCTCATCTAAACTGACCACTCTCCAAGTTTAAATCCAAGTTAAACCAGAACATCTGGGGGGGGGGGGTAGAAAAAAACAAGAGGAAACAGGCTATCTTGCATAATGACTTAGCCACTCCCAGTCTCTATTTAAGCCTAAATTAATAGTATCCATTTTGCAAATGAATTCCAATTCAGCAGTTTCTCGCTGGAGTCTGGATTTGAAGTTTTTTTGTTTTAAGATAGCGACCTTCATGTCTGTGATTGCGTGACCAGAGAGATTGAAGTGTTCTCCGACTGGTTTATGAATGTTATAATTCTTGACATCTGATTTGTGTCCATTTATTCTTTTACGTAGAGACTGTCCAGTTTGACCAATGTACATGGCAGAGGGGCATTGCTGGCACATGATGGCATATATCACATTGGTGGATGTGCAGGTGAACGAGCCTCTGATAGTGTGGCTGATGTTATTAGTGATCACTTTAGATAAGCTATTACCAGCAGGAGAGTGGGGTGGGAGGAGGTACTGTTTCATGGTCTCTGTGTATATAGACAGGTTTCAGAGGAACAGCCGTGTTAGTCTGTATTCGCAAAAAGAAAAGGAGTACTTGTGGCACCTTAGAGACTAACCAATTTATTTAAGCATGAGCTTTCGTGAGCCACAGCTCACTTCATCAGATGTTTACCGTGGAAACTGCAGCAGACTTTATATACACACAGAAATCATGAAACAATACCTCCTCCCACCCCACTGTCCTGCTGGTAATAGCTTATCTAAAGTGATCAACAGGTGGGCCATTTCCAGCACAAATCCAGGTTTTCTCACCCTCCACCCCCCCACACAAATTCACTCTCCTGCTGGTGCTAGCCCATCCAAAGTGACAACTCTTTACATAATCAAGTCGGGCTATTTCCTGCATAGATCAAGGTTTTCTCACATCCCCCCCACCCCCATACACACACAAACTCACTCTCCTGCTGGTAATAGCTCATCTAAACTGACCACTCTCCAGGTTTAAATCCAAGTTAAACCAGAACATCTGGGGGGGGGGGGGGTAGGAAAAAACAAGAGGAAACAGGCTGAACTTTGTGACTTTGTCCTTACCCATAACTATTTCACATTTGGGGACAATGTATACCTTCAGATCAGCGGCACTGCTATGGGTACCCGCATGGCCCCACAGTATGCCAACATTTTTATGGCTGATTTAGAACAACGCTTCCTCAGCTCTCGTCCCCTAAAGCCCCTACTCTACTTGCGCTATATTGATGACATCTTCATCATCTGGACCCATGGAAAAGAAGCCCTTGAGGAATTCCACCATGATTTCAACAATTTCCATCCCACCACCAACCTCAGCCTGGTCCAGTCCACACAAGAGATCCACTTCCTGGACACTACAGTGCTAATAAACAATGGCCACATAAACACCACCCTATACCGGAAACCTACTGACCGCTATTCCTACCTGCATGCCTCCAGCTTTCACCCTGACCACACCACACGATCCATCGTCTACAGCCAAGCTCTGCGATACAACCGCATTTGCTCCAACCCCTCAGACAGAGACAAACACCTACAAGATCTCTGTCAAGCTTTCTTACAACTACAATACCCACCTGCAGAAGTAAAGAAACAGATTGATAGAGCCAGAAGAGTTCCCAGAAGTTACCTACTACAGGACAGGCCTAACAAAGAAAATAACAGAACGCCACTAGCGGTCACCTTCAGCCCCCAACTAAAACCCCTCCAACGCATTATTAAGGATCTACAACCTATCCTAAAGGATGACCCAACACTCTCACAAGTCTTGGGAGACAGGCCAGTCCTTGCCTACAGACAGCCCCGCAACCTGAAGCAAATACTCACCAACAACCACATACCACACAACAGAACCACTAACCCAGGAACTTATCCTTGCAACAAAGCCCGTTGCCAATTGTGCCCACATATCTATTCAGGGGACACCATCACAGGGCCTAATAACATCAGCCACACTATCAGAGGCTCATTCACCTGCACATCCACCAATGTGATATATGCCATCATGTGCCAGCAATGCCCCTCTGCCATGTACATTGGTCAAACTGGACAGTCTCTACGTAAAAGAATAAATGGACACAAATCAGATGTCAAGAATTATAACATTCATAAACCAGTCGGAGAACACTTCAATCTCTCTGGTCACGCAATCACAGACATGAAGGTCGCTATCTTAAAACAAAAAAACTTCAAATCCAGACTCCAGCGAGAAACTGCTGAATTGGAATTCATTTGCAAATTGGATACTATTAATTTAGGCTTAAATAGAGACTGGGAGTGGCTAAGTCATTATGCAAGGTAGCCTGTTTCCTCTTGTTTTTTCCTACCCCCCCCCCCAGATGTTCTGGTTTAACTTGGATTTAAACCTGGAGAGTGGTCAGTTTAGATGAGCTATTACCAGCAGGAGAGTGAGTTTGTGTGTGTATGGGGGTGGGGGGGATGTGAGAAAACCTTGATCTATGCAGGAAATAGCCCGACTTGATTATGTAAAGAGTTGTCACTTTGGATGGGCTAGCACCAGCAGGAGAGTGAATTTGTATGGGGGGTGGAGGGTGAGAAAACCTGGATTTGTGCTGGAAATGGCCCACCTGTTGATCACTTTAGATAAGCTATTACCAGCAGGACAGTGGGGTGGGAGGAGGTATTGTTTCATATTCTCTGTGTGTATATAAAGTCTGCTGCAGTTTCCACGGTACACATCTGATGAAGTGAGCTGTAGCTCACGAAAGCTCATGCTCAAATAAATTGGTTAGTCTCTAAGGTGCCACAAGTACTCCTTTTCTTTTTGCGAATACAGACTAACACGGCTGTTCCTCTGAAACCTGAACTAGGTTTATAACTTCTGTCTTGGTCCATGAAAAGTGTGTGTGCAAGAAGCAGGGCCACTCATGACAGAACGGTGCAAGGAGAGCTATAAACCTAAAACGGACACGGGAAAGAACATCCAGACAAGACCATCCAATACACTGTCCCAAGAATCAGCAATCCAATGCTTCATCCTGGACAACTTCTAACCCACAAAAGAATATTGCTAGGAACAGA